CATCAGGCCAATAGGGCAGAATACTCCTTTCCCTTTTAAAGCACAAGCTCAAACTTTTCTTTGCTTCTTTATGTTTTTGCTGTGCACACTTTGTGAAAACCACTGCCAAGCTTGCAGCTCATGGGACATAATGGAGAGAGAAAAAAAAAAAAAAAACAACTAAAACTTTCAGATCTCATTAGACATTGTGTATACCGGTAGATGTAAACATTGTCTTGTAAACCTCCCTGAGGCCTGACACTGGGTGGACTCCTGCAGGAGCAGCTGCCTCTGCTCTTTTCTTTCTTCTGAATGATTTAAATGGCTCTGGATAAAAAAAGAACTCGAAGGAGAACGGGGGCAGAGGTCGGTGGAGGAAAAGGAAGAAGATGATTGGTTATTTCTCATCAGCACGTCAAGGCTAACGTTAGCTACGACAGTCCTGGTACAGACACTACAGCTAGCGTCTCGTATTAAGGTGCGTAAACGTGACCTGCTTCTGTTTAGGTCACATGACTTTGGTCATTTTGTGTTTGTCAAAGATCACAGTCAGACAGAAGGGGGCGACAGAGAACATGAGCTTTACTTCAGGCAGTTGGAGGACACCTTGGAGGACACCTTCAGGTCGTTATTAGTATTCTGTCTCTTTTTGATTCCAGAGAGAGGAACAGGAAGTTGTTGGACGGTACTGCAGTACTCCATCAGGCCAATAGGGCAGAATACTCCGTTACTACAAGAAAACATGAGCTGATACTTGAATCAACTGAACTTGGCATCAGAAGTATTGACAATATTTCTCAGTTTAGGACGACGCTAGGTCAGTGTGAGAGTGAAGCCGACGTGAACATGAGGACTGGATCTGGTGTCAACGTTAGTAAAGTTCCGACGACGACAGAGGCGCAGTGGGCTACGACAACGTAGCTGAACTTGGCTAATTCTCCACATGTTCATAAGAGTACACGTCAGACATGGGCTAAATGAGCTAAGGCTAAATATTAGCCTTAAATATTTTAGCCTTAAATATATTTGTTAGCCTAACAGTTTTTAAGATTAGCCTTAATAGTCGTTTGCTCGCGGCAGGAAACTTGTATCCGATCGAGAAAAAATTAGCCTCACGAGGCTAAAATACTGTTAAAAGAAACAAAAGACAATTAAAACAGAAAAATGTTTATGCAACAACAAAAACAGGTACAAGTTGAGCAATTATGCTGTAGGTGAGGAATTACGCTAAAGTTACGCTAAACTTAGTTTTAACGAGCTAATAACTAACTTAGTAACTAATAACTAATCTGCCTCAGATCTAAAAGGCTAACTCTAATAATCATTCGTCTTTTATCAAAACAAAAAAAACAACAAATGACTCAACGGTCTGGATTTGCTCTCTCTCTCTCTGTGTGTGTGTGTGTGTGTGTGTGTGAATGGAGGGGCCAATCAAAGACGGCCTTTTCGTGAGAACCAATCCCTCCCATTACAGCTAAAGATCTCACCCCCGCAGCCGGGGAGCAAAGAACTGGAACTAATTCCACTAACGAGTCCAGGATCCAGAGAGAGGCGGGAACTACGAGCGGGAAACAGAGGGACGAATAAACTGAAGGAGGACTGAGGACCGATGGACGTTCTCCCTCTGGTTCTCCCTCTGGTTCTCCCTCTGGTTCTCCCTCTGGTTCCTCCACTTCTCTGCTGGTTTTTTTCTTTGTACAAAAACATTCAAACCTGCTCAGGACTCCGTGGGTTCAGACCCCGGTTCCTGGACTCTCCACACGGGACAGTGTATTTGTGAATGGGTGTGTGTGTGTGTGTGTGTGTGTGTTAGAGGACGACGCCGGCAGAGTCGTAAACAGAGCTGAAGGAGACGCTAATGGACAACATGTGTCCCCTGTGGCTCAGTGGACAGTCGGAGATGCAGTAATAACTGAGTGCCTGCAGCAGAGAGGAGAACATCGTAAACAGAGCTGAAGGAGACGCTAATGGACAACATGTGTCCCCTGTGGCTCAGTGGACAGTCGGAGATGCAGTAATAACTGAGTGCCTGCAGCAGAGAGGAGAACATCTGTCCTCAGTCCTCAGTCCTCAGTCCTCTGTCCTCAGTCCTCAGTCGTTAGTCCTCAGTCCTCAGTCCTCTGTCCTCTGTCCTCAGGGAGACAGTTCCGACAACAGGAACCTGTCCCTCTGTCCACCTCTGATGTTACCAAGAGAACACAGACTAATGCCGTCCAGATATGACCATGTGAAAACACCAGAGGGCGCTCCTCCACCAGAACGTCTGCTCCTGTGGCAGAATGCTAGCTCGTGACGACAAGTCAATCCAGAAACAGTAGAAACAAGCTAAGGGGGGGCTAATAGTAGGCTTAAATAGCTGAAGGTTAAAGGTCAAAGACTAAAAAAAGTTATAATACAGACCTAGTGTTTAGAGGAAATAACTACAAAATAATGATAATTAATACTAATTAAAAATAACGACAATAACTGAAACCCAAACATCTAAAGCTAAAGTAGCTAAAGCATTACGATGTTTCAGCAGAAAGTCTTTCTTACAGTGTGGAAATCTTCAACTCTACTTGAATGTGCGACCACACAAAACCTGCTCAAGTCCCCAGTATGAACCCTGAGCCACAGTTTGGACCGACAGAACTGATGTATCTGAGCAGCAGAAACTGTCATTTTCTTCTGCTTCATCAGCCACGCTCTGCAAAAAGCATCCACACCCAGGGACGCCAGGGACGAAGACCCCCACCCAGGGACAAAGACCACCACCCAGGGATGAAGACCACCACCCTGGGACAAAGACCACCACCCCGGGACAAAGACCACCACCCAGGGACGAAGACCACCACCCTGGGACGAAAACCACCACCCAGGGACAAAGACCACCACCCCGGGACAAAGACCACCACCCCGGGACAAAGACCACCACCCTGGGACAAAGACCACCTCCCCTGCTCCACCCCTGCTCCACCCCTGCTCCTCGTCTCCTCCTCTCGGCTCCACCAACCAGATCTCCGACCACTGAATCTTGGTTCCATTTACCGACATCACCTCCTCGCGGGGCAGATGATTTAAGTCAACCCAGCGAACACGACCAGAGTAGGTGAAGCGTGATGCCCTCAGTCTTACCTGACAGGCGTGTGGAGGCTGGAGCTGCCTGAGACCTTCACTGTGGACTTCCTCCTGGTTCCTCCTCAGTCGGTGCCGTGCAGCATGACAGGACTTTACTGTGAGGACGAAGTGTTTGTCTCCCTGCTCTGCAAGGACGGGGGGTGGGGGGGGGGCGTAGATGGATGGATGGATGGTTGGATGGATGGATGGATGGATGGATGGCACAGCACTTTGATTATTCCTCTTCGTCTCCTCTCCTCCTCAGATCAGAGACCGTGCACAGACTTCCTCCAGGAGTGGTGGACAGCTCCGGTGCTGAATCTTCTTTTTTGTCCAAACACACACACACACACACACACACACACACACCCTCCCTCTTTATTTCCTCTCCTCTTTCCCCTCCTTCTCCCTCAGCGTGTGAGGAGGCAGTGAGTCCTGGGTGAGGAATCACAGACCACAGACTTAAACCAGGGATTTATGGACACCAAATGTGCCGACATCCCATCCCACTCTCCTCCTCCCCTCTCTGCTCCTCCCCCTCCTC